TCTTGCGGCCCTCTTTGGGCGCCCTTGGGAGCTTCAGGAGCCATCTCAGGAAGACATCGATCAAACAAGAGGGGAGCTTGAATTAGCCTTGCCCTTCTAGAGTGCCTCGAATCGCCTCCTGGGGCGCTCTTGGACGCTCTTAAGACCGTCGTGAAGGCCCCTTGGGCCCCTCTTGGAGCCCTCTTGGACCATCTTGGAACCATCCTGAGACCTCGGGAGTTCCATTGGAACAACATTGATTCCTTCAGGTTTTGGAAGGATGTTGGCCTATTGGCGGCCTCCCGGGGGAGCTCTCGAGCCACTTGGACACGTCTTGGAGCGGTCTGGAGCCTTCTTGGAGCATATCGGGAGCCATCTTGAGGTATCTTGGAGGTCACCTTGGACTCTCCGAGGCCCTTTTCGAGCCGTCTTGGGCCATCTTGGACGCTCCAACGCCTCAAGGGGCGCCCCGTCCTAGTCCAGGGGAGGTGACGGGGGGAGGGGTAAACCACTCCCCGAGGGGGAAGAAGGCGATTGGAAGAGAAACCGCCCTGGACCACCTACGCCCAGAGGGCTGGTGGGATTGGGGAGGTCCAGGAGGGGAGCGGCTCGCTATTGCTCCACGAGCGGAACGGGCAAAAATGGCGTTTCCTGTTCGCGTCCGGTCATACTCATGACAAGTATGGTTGTGTTGTGGCTGGCGACGCTCAAGAAGGAGTGAGAATCTGTGATCACCATGGCATATGTTGTCGTGAACTACCCCTCGAGCGGACAGAGGCGACAGTCCACTCAAGATCCCAAGATCGGACCCTTCTTGGGTTGTCTTGAAGCGTAACATGCAAGACAAGTGGCGAAGGATCATGGGTTGGAGGATTGGCGAGCACAGTTTGGCACGCAAGAGCACCTTCTTCGGGAAACCACACGTGCGCATGACAATTTCCGACATCTCACCCGTGCATCGTACAACATGTTGGTGCGTCTGGGTTTTGCGTGCGGTGGACCTGCTTTACATGCTCGCCGTTTGCAGTGCATACGCTACGTGTACCCACTCCTACGTAGATCTGCTCGTGGATACAGCAGCGCTCGCGAGCTGCTCTGCGAATGGCTCGTGCCGGAACAAGTCAAGGATACCATGAGCCGAGCCGAGCTGGCTCCACTCGACGGCATTCGAGCAGGGAGCCCGAGCAGCATGTTGAGAGTCCGCCTGCGGGAGGCAGCATCTCGTGCCAGGTTCGTCCAGGGCTTTGCGTGAATCCCACTACTATTAAGACGGGCATGTCCCTCTACAGGAGAAATAGTCTGGGGGCGATATTTCGTTATTTTTGACAAATTGTTGCGTATGGTTTGACTAGTTTTCATTTTTCCTCCAAAATCCGCGGCGCTCCAGTGCGCATGCACACGGAGCAGCCTGGAGTACACGGTTGGGAATCTTTTGATTCGTGAGTGGTGGAATCCACATTGGGATCGATACCAGCACATCGTTAGTGAATGTTGACCAAATTTACCTACACATTTGCGCATATGTCAATGGGCCACGACTGGGTCTGGGTCTCTCGGAACCACGTATCCCTTTTATCCCAATAAATTTGTTGATCCAAGTGTTGTTGCCAGGGAGATTGCACGAGCTTCCAGTCCGATCTTACCCTCACCATCGTCTCGTCTTCGTTATGTCCCTCATGCCTCCTTCTCCCACACTTCCGCCTCTTCTTTCGCCTTCCGTGAGAGGCTGCCCGAGATGCAGCGGCACAACATCGTGCACTTGGCCCAGAGTTTGGACCTTCTCCCCGCGCACGTGCAGGCAACAAGGACGCTGTCTTTCTAGTCGCGCGGAAGCCAAGCAGGGCAGGAGTGCGCCATCCAGGCTTGCAGAGGAACCTCGGACGCGGCCCGAGATCCTAGTATTTTCGAGCCAGGCATTTGCTTGTACAGCGGCAACTTCGAAAACCGGCTGTCAGCCCAATTTGACATTGGTTGGCCAAGCTTGAGGGTGCACGCTCGGTCCACGCCGAAGCAGACTCAGCCGGGGACGACGACTGACCAGCACTACCCATTCACGTGCGGTCGGTGGATAGCACAGGCCAATTGCGACAGTCGATGTCCGTAGGTCGTCTTCGTGTGCTTGTTGTAGGGTTCTTCCGCTGCCGTCCTCGGCCATTGACACAGGGAGAGCATTGAAAAATTACGCAGTCCAAGGAGGAGCGAGGACATACTCCAATGAGACGTACGCGTTTCCCTGGCGTGGGGGAGCCGTCACAGTGAATTGAATCACCAAGGTGCCCTCAAGATTGCCCCACACGTGCGGATTGCTGGGTAATGAGGCCGACGATGCTGTCCAAGCGCGGGCTCATCTCCGCTGCGAGTGATCAATAGCGGCGCAATGCTGTACATTACGCTCCTGTGGCGCGATGGGGACCAGAACGATCGTCACGGGGACAGGAAGGGACGGCAGAAGGCGCGGGGGCTCTAAAACGGTATCCCCAGCGTCGCGAAGCCGTGCATCCTGGCCGTCCAGCAGGTTCAGGAGCTCCGCGCCCCCTTTCCTGCTGCACCGCGGCGACCTGCCGCGAGGAAGCGCAAGATGCTCTCGTATCTTCCCCCGTCCCGCACGCCCGCGCGCCTGTCCGAGGGTGCACGCGTCTCGTTGAGAGTAAGCAGGTATCTTTGGATTCCCAGATCCCAGCCCGCCTCAGTCGCCTTCCCACTTCAAGGGCCGAGCGGTTTCTCCTCCTCCATCCTTGTCAGGGGGCGGGCGGAAATTCAATTGACTCCCAACGCCCTCCTACTTCACGTTTCCACCGACTTCTTCCGACCGACGGGTGCTGACGGAGCTGCCCTGCTCGAGGGGGAACGCCGGGCTCGCGTTCGCCGGCGCTCGGGCCCGCCGACGCCGTGTCGGCGGGCCCCGTCCTGGGCCTCGCCGCCCTCGTCGTCAGGGGGCCACATGCGAGCCCTGCCCCCACACCTCACGATGTCTGAGGGGGAGGGCGGGGTTCACTTCGTTCGGGACCCTAGTCGTTGCCATCGTCGGGGGCGGCAGCGACGACGATCAGGAGCCAGGCTTCTGGCGCGAGGCTGCTTCTGTTCGGTGCACGGCGCCATGGGCCCAGATCCTTTTCTCTCTCCCGGCAGCTCTTCGCCCCAGAGCCGTCTCCGCTGGCCGCCCGCGGCTTGGCAACGGGGCCCCAGGGGCGTAAATCGACGAACAAAAACGCTTGGGCGCTTTTTTGGGAGTGGTCCAGTTCCCGCGGGATGTCTGCAGCGGGAGCGCGGGTCAGATTTCCGATTGGGTCTCGCTATTCTGTAGCTGCCTCGGCACGTCCGTTTTGACACACAACACGTGCCGTGTTCAAAACGTCCATGCTGACACGCTGCGTGTTGGCTCAACGTTCTGTGTGATGGCCCACGTTTCGGCGAGCGTATTGCGCCATTCCTACATGTTCAGTCTACGTGTGGAAGAGCGCGTTCTGCTGACGCTGGGAGGGGGGAGGGGGGCTCGCATCGCCCCCCCTCCCTCCCCAGCGGCAGCCAATGACGGCGAGCGCTGGCGCCAGCGCCGGCGGGGTCGGGCAACGACGACGACGATCGAGCCTGAGAAGGATGTTCTCAAGGCTGGATCGAGCCCTAATCAGATTTTACTTGGAGCTGGATCGATCCCTGGTAGGATTCCATTTAAGCTAGATCTAGCTATCACAGGATTCTGGTTGAGATGGATTGGGCCGTATGTGGATTCAATTAGAGATCGGTCCAGCTATAGTAGGATCGAGCCCGAGTAGAGCGCTATTAAAGTTTGATCCAGCTATAGTGGGATCCGATAGTATCTGGATCGAGCACAAGTAGGTTACAATTAGAGCTGGAAGTCCATCGACAGCAGGCTTCTTTCGGAGTTGGCTCGAGCCCGGCTAGGATGCTACAAACGTAAAACCCAGTTATATTAGGATTCTATTTCAGCTTGATCGAGCACCACTCGGGGTTTATTCATTGGAGGAGGGCCAATTCGACTCCCCCCCCTCCCCCTTGGACAGGAGGGGGGCGGGGGGGCGATTCGAACCCCCCCTCCTTCCCTCTGACCCTCCCCACTCACCCCTTCCCGGTTAGAGAAGCGGGTGTCCAGAGGGGTGGGAAGAGGGGGCGGGGGGGCATTTCTCCGAGCCTTTCCCACATATCTTAGAGGGGGGGGGGGGGGGGGGGGGGGCGACTCCGACGTGTTCAGGGATTTGTTCGAGCAAGCGTCCACCGAACGCGTTCTCTCCTACGTTTCGTGAGCCCCCGTGTCAGCACGCTGCAGGCTGCGTGTGGCGTATCGGGGCAGCTGAAGCGCCGCTCCCTTGGCGGCCCCGTCGGGCCGGCCCGAGCCCAGCGAACCCGGAGTCGCACACGTCTCCCCGAGAGGTGGAGTCTCCGTCGGCCCCTCGCCTTGCAGGGGCCTCGCCGCCGGGGGTGCAGGGCCTGGCGAGGCTCATGATGCTCCAGCCCACGTCGGCCTGACACGCCAGGCAGAATTTCAAGAGCCAAGAAAGTTCGGGGGCGGAAAAGAGGGGGGTGATGACTAGGGGGGGGTGAATATCATGGCGGGGGCCATGATTTTTCCCCAGATTTCATGGCGCCTCTTCCTATTTCATTACGTTCCTGGCCTCCCCGCTGGGCCGCGCACATGCCGCCGGTCATGATTTGCACCCCCCCCTCTTGGACACCCCCCTCTTGGCCGCTCCCGAAAAGTACCGAAACTGGATGGTTTTCACGTGTCGGGCTCTGGGAGGCGACACTCGTTCGGCACTGTGTTGCTACTTGTTTGGGGTGCTCGGAAGTATTTCTGGGATCTGGTCCCAGCATGAGGCGAGACCCCCGCCGCCTTGGGCCGGGGCGGCCGGGCCGGGCAGGACCGAGTGGGGCACGGTCGAAGCGCAGAAAGAAGGACCGCTTGGGGCTCAGGAGGGGCTCGGGCTTTCGGGCCGCTCCGAGGATGTGTGTCGTGGAGCCTGCGTCTGGCGCAGGCCCGCCACGGCCAGAGGAGCTTCTTCGCTCTTCGATGCGCGTTCACTCCGCAGCCTTCCGCCGAGGAAGAGATGGCGAACGGATTCGATCCTCGAAGGCAAGGACGCTTTTGATGAGCGACGAGAAGAAATGGGTCTTGCGCGAGGTGCCACGGCGACCTTACGCCGCGACTTCCGCGGACCGCATGGTGTCTGAATGGAAGCAGTGGGGACTAAGTCAAGCAGCAGTTCCTCCCCATTTTGAGCAGGACTCGCCGTCGACGTCGCCGCGGACGTGGTAACACTCTAGAAAGAAACGATTGCCAGACAGAGGTCACTGTCGGCTTGGGGGGGCAAGATTTGGTGTTAGGCATCGTTCGAACCCTTTCACGGGCGTCCACACAGGGTTTTTCGGGGCACGTTCCGTCAGATAGGAAATCACAAAAGTTTCAGATCGTCTTGCGTTGAAGGCATATCGGCGGATAGCGTCCAATAGCGGGCGCACCGCGCCCAGTCGCGCCAAATTGCGCTCAATAGTGACGAATGCCTCCGAAATAGTGCCCAATAACGCGAGAGACGTTGCGTCCGCCTTGCGCGATATTGGACGCGCTATTGGGTGCCATGGGGACGACCAAAAGCCTCCGTGAGTTGCCCGCTTCGTTCTGAGCCCAGCATCCAGGGATTCGTCGTGCACGCTCCCTGGGGCTTCGAGCACATGCCTCCAGGGCGCGGCGTTCGGTGTCCGAGGCTGGACGGCCAAGCGGATCCGAGTCTTCAGCGGATTCTGCGTGGCCTGGCGGACTGATGCTGCAGGCCACGAGCCTGGACAAGCAGATGCCCAGTACTCGCCGCCAGTTTTTGTTCGCTCGGCGGGCTGTGCGCACAGGGCTCCTCCTCCCCCTCCCCCCTCCTCCTCCCCCTTCTCCTCCTCCTCCTCCTCCTCCTCCTCCTCCCCCTCCTCCTCCTCCTCCCCCTCCTCCCCCTCCTCCCCCTCCCCCTCCTCCTCCGCCTCCGCCTCTGCCTCCTCCTCCTTTGCTCAGCGGGCTCACATGGGCCTCGCCTGGATCACTGGCGTGCCAGACTCGAGACTCCCCGAGCGTCGCAGCCTGCACGGCGGGAAGTGGCAGTGGCACGACGGGCGAGCAGTTCGGGCGCGTGGAGCGTCCACCGCCGGCCCACGGGGAAAGCTGGCCAGCAGGTCGCACGTGCGTGTGCACAGTGAACCGAACACTCCTCGTGTGCGTGTGTGCGTGTGTGTGCGCGTGTGTGTGTGTGCGTGTGTGTGTGTGTGTGTGGTGTGTGTGAGTGTGTGTGTGTGTGTGGGTGCGTGCGTGCGTGCGTGCGTGCGTGCGTGCGTGCGTGCGTGCGTGCGTGCGTGCGTGCGTGCGTGCGTGCGTGCGTGCGTGCGTGCGTGCGTGCGTGCGTGCGTGCGTGCGTGCGTGCGTGCGTGCGTGCGTGCGTGCGTGCGTGCGTGCGTGCGTGCGTGCGTGCGTGCGTGCGTGCGTGCGTGCGTGCGTGCGTGCGTGCGTGCGTGCGTGCGTGCGTGCGTGCGTGCGTGCGTGCGTGCGTGCGTGCGTGCGTGCGTGCGTGCGTGTGTGTGTGTGTGTGTGTGTGCGTGTGTGTGTGTGTGTGCGTGCGTGCGTGCGTGCGTGCGTGCGTGCGTGCGTGCGCGTGCGTGCGTGCGTGCGTGCGTGCGTGTGTGCGTGAGTGTGTGCGTGTGTGCGTGTGTGCGTGTGTGTGTGTGTGTGTGTCTTGTGCGTGTGTGTCTTGTGCGTGTGTGCCTTGTGCGTGTGTGTCTTGCGTGTTGTCTGTGTCGTGTGTTGTCTGTGTCGTGTGTTGTCTGTGTTGTGTGTTGTGTGTGTTTTGTATGTTCGTGTGCTCTCTATCCCCCCCTCCTGCATGGTGGCACAATGTGCTGAACGGCAGCCCCGTTTTGCTTCCTCGCCAGTGCAGCGGCTCCGCCTAGCCGCCGACGAGAAAAGTGTCTGCTGTGTGTACGCACGTGCATGTTATCGAAGGCGCATGCGGCGAAGCACTGCCGCCCCCTGCCCTCTGGAAACGCCCAGGTGGCCAAGCATTAGACCGAAGCCTTGCCAAGCTATCTCAGAAAGACAGTTAAGGTGGGAGGATGGGATTGGTAGAAAAAAGTATACGTAGCACCCCGCAGTCGCGGATAAGAGTGAGGGGACAGCGGGGACGTCTGCAGTTTGCGAGGTTCTGAAGAAGCCCGCCGCAGGCGCCTACATTTTACAAATTATGCAACGAGCCCGCCGCAGGCGCCGACTTTTCGGTAAAGTAATGTGGGTGCGTCGCGGGGTGGGTCGCGGGTGGGTCGTGGGTGGATCGTTGGTGGGTCGCGGGTGGGTCGCGGGCTGGGTCGCGGTTGGGTCGCGGGTGGGTCGTCGGGGGTGGGTCGCGAGCGGGTCGCGGTCGGGTTGCGGGGTGGGTCGCGGGTGGGTCGCGGGCCTGGTCGCGGTGGGGGACGACGCCAAACAATACCAAACAAACAACAAACAAACAAACAAATAAACAAACAACATTAATCATAACA